CACATATGTTGCTAGGAAAATAATTTTTCAGCTGTATTTGTGTACCGTACCCAAAAACTTCTAAAACCGAAGTAACTTAAATTGGCCTCAAATACAAAGGGGAAAAATTCAGTTTTTACCGATTTTTCCCGAGGGCGGGGAAGGCCTCCCCCGCCCCTGTTGTTTTAATGGGGGTTTTTACTAAAACATACGAATGGAGGAACACTGCAGAAGGGCCCACTGGGGGGCCCCTACAAGGCAGGGCCCATCAAACCACCCCTACCCAAAACTCCCCCGAATTTACTCCCCTACCCAATGACACTAATCAAAACCCCCCCCTCCCCTCAAAATTGTCCAATCTCTTTTTAAAACTAACCCAAGCCCTACCTCGATCACCCTACTCAAAACCATTCCACCACCACCACTCTGTTCAAAAACCAGTATTACTTGGGCCTTTCTAATCTTTTTTCCAAATTTAAAACCATTTTTCTGGTTCTTCCTGGTTTGAACCCTAGTACAGGACCCCGGTATTCGATGCATTATATCGCAAAAAATTTCCTCGGGATTCGATGAAAACCCTATTCGATACGATTTGTACAGACCTGTCCACAGGGCCTAACTTCCCCTTTTGTCCTGTTTACAACAGCCATGTGCGCGCTCTAAGGGTGGTTTAGAAAGACCTAAACAAACACTAAACCCTATTTTTTTTAGAAAAAAGTTTCGGTCCTGGCCTTTATCCTTCTAACATACAGAGGGAAAAGACATTATAATATAGGCGGAAGTGAGATGTGACGCACGTGACCTGAGGAATGTCATAAGAACATAAAAAAAAGGAGGAACACTGTAGAAGGCTACTGGGCCCCTGCAGGCAGGTCCTTATCAAAACAACCCTACCCAGATGAGGACGTTAACATGAAATCATTTACTCCCGTGTTGTTTTGGGTTTTGGGGGTTAAGTATCATGTATGCCAATGTTTTTGCTAATATATAATTTTTTTTTTACTCTGTTGTTAAAGTGACAAGGGCCCAGGGCCGAAAAGTTTTTTAATAAAAAATGTTATAGTGTTTGCTAGTGTCTTTTTTAAACCAACTTTTTGTATTTATTACCAAGGTTTATAGCATCTAAAGGGAAAATTTGGTACTTCCAATTATCCAATTATCACGTTTTTGGGGCTTGTTTTTTTGCAAAATAATCACCATGGCCCCAAGAAAATTCTAGGCCCCAAACCCCGTGGTAAAAAGGGTGAGAATTAGTAGGAAATTAAAAAGATTTTGAAAAAGGTTTTGGGCTAACCCGAAACCTATACCATTGTGAAACATTGTGCCTACTTCAAAAAAAAAGGGAAAGGTTTCACAGGGTTTTAATGCAAACCTTTAGGATGAAAACACCCTAACACAGCATTACAATGACAATGTTTACCATTTTTGACAAATCGTAAAGGAAAAAGGGGGGTCAGACTCTATGGACAGATTTTTGTGCACAGAGGTCCAGTGACTCTCAAGCTGGGCCTATTGCATTTAAAAAAAAAGGGAAGTAACCCGGAAAAGGGCTTGCACCTCAAGTCCAATGGAAGGGGATTCCCCTTTTAAAAAACAACACCCTCCCCTCTTCCACCCTCAACACACCAGACCCTTCATTAAAGGGAAGTGTCAATTATTTTATTGTTATTGTAAATTTTTCTATTGCATTAAACTTTATTTTTGAGAAAAAATTTTTTTTTTCATACTTTTGGGGGTCTTGCATGGATAAATTTTTTATTTTTTATTATTTCTTTTAGGAAAATTGATATTTCGATTTAAAACGGGATTCGACAGCTCTCAGGAACGGTTAATATCGAATACCGGGGTCCACTGATTTATTAATATCACCTTTGTTTTTTTTCCCTCCCAAACCACTATACCCCAATGATACTCCCCTCATTCTGGTCTCTCCCAAAATGGGGGGTTCAAGGCCTAAGCTGTTCCCTGTGGGGAATTCCTTATACAGTAAATCATTTTAGTCATTCTTCTTTGTATGTTCTCCTAGTGAGTCTAAATTATCCATCCTGTAGTAAGGAGACCAAAACTGAGTGGCAAATCCATATGAGGCGCTCACTAGTGACGTATAGAGCTGTAAAAATAACTTTTGGACTTCTGTTACTTACACTTCTGAAATATATCCCAGTAAACCTGTTAGCCTTATCCAACACTTAGGCAACGGCTGTCCTTGGCTTTAGATTTCTACTTACCAAGACTCCCAAGTCTTTTTTTCATTCACATACTGTATGAATCAAGCTCTACTTCACCTAGTTTATAACTTCAATGGTAATATTCATTACCAAGGACTAGTACCTTACATTTATCCACAATATATCTTTATCTGCCATATTTCCAGACCAATAATGTTAATTTGTCCAAACCTCCCTGGAGTTATTGATATCTCCCAGAATGAATCAAATGGCCTATTTTTGTATCATCAGCAAAATTTGCTCATGTCACTTGTAATTCCTTCAATGAAGGTCTTTAAGTAAATTACGAATAAAAGAGGGCCTAAAACTGATCCTTGTGTAATGCACTAGTGACTAATCCCCATCAGATTTGACCCCATTAATGGAAACTCTCTGCTTTCTATTGGTAAGCCTGCCTATCCCATGCTAATGAAACTTTTTCCTCTTAACCATGAGCGCCACCTTTCTTAAGATTCTCTGTGAGATACTCTAATCGAATGCTTTAACTGAATTCCAAATAACAATATCATAGTCATTATTACTGTCCTACTACCTAAATGTTTTATTGAAGAACGTCAGTAAATTTGTCAGGCAGGAATGACCTCTCGTGAACCCATGCTGAGATTCATTAATCAAATTATGCTCTTCAAGATGACTTCTAATAATATCAGCTATAATCGATTCCAACAATTTGCCTACTATAGACATCAGGCTCATTGGATGATAATTTGATGGAATGGACCTATCCCCTGATTTGAATATAGGAACTACATTAGCCATCTTCCACATCTCTGGCACAACACCTGTTAAGATGGACACATTAAACACGCTCGTTAATGGCAGACTAAGTTCCGTCTTGCATTCTTTAAGTACCATGGAAAACAACTCGTCAGGTCCCGGGGACTTATTTAACTTCAGTTTGTCTATTTGTTTGATGACCATGTCCCTCATGACAGTAATATTCGTTAATCTGAATTCTTCAGGAACTGAATAATTGTTAATTTCTGGAATCTCAGTAATGTCTTCTTGAGTAAAGACTGACAAAAAATAATCATTAAATAGAGAACACATTTCCAGTTCGTTCTCCGTCAACTGTCCACTCCCAATTTTCAGAGGTAGCAACTTTAATTTCATAGTCACATTTAGCTTTCCTAATCCCCTTTTTTACTTCTCTTTTTAACTGAACATATTGGTCAGTAAGGTTAATCTCTCCTCTTTTGATGCACCTATAAATTCCCCTTTTCTCTCCTAGTAAATGCTTTAGCCTCCTGTTAACCCATTTAGGGTCATTATTATTTGACCTAATATCTCTTTGGGGAATATATATGCTTTGAGCTCATTCTACATTATTAAGAAAAAATTCATAATCACAGATCCCTTGGTAATCGTAAGTATGATCATCAGTAAAATTATTAGCTAGAATACCCCAATCCAGATTAGACAGGTGTTCCCCAAGTCCATTATAATTGGCTGAACGAAAATCAGGGACTTTTACCGTATTATGATTATTCTCGTATTCCCAGGTAAAGTTAAAAGTGATGGATTTGTGATCACTAGCACCAAGCTCTTCAGCGATCTCCAGATTATTTATGAGTGTTTCCTTATTTGACAAGACTAGGTCGAGCAAACTATTACCTCTGGTAGGGTTTGTTACACACTGCTTCAGAAAACAGTCCTGAACTACTTCCATAAAGTCACTGGACTCCAGATTACTGATCAAAGAAGTCCAGTCAATTTGACTAAAGTTAAAATCCCCTATTATCACTACGTTATTGTGTCTAGATTCAATTAGGTCCGATTCAATTATTCCTGATTATATTTGTGAAATAGGCTAAATCTTTGATTTTCTAGTGTGATGCATTCAAAATGGAAGACAATATGATTATTGCACATAGTAAATGTTCTTTTAGTAGTACCTGGAATGTTTACATTGTTTGTTTTGGACTCTATTTTTAAATTGTAATTTTTTAATATTGTGTAAAATTGGCCAAATTATCAAATTCTGTGTACTTTGTAGGGTGGTTCTGATAATTGAGTGGGTGGTTTCTTATACTCACTGGATAGAATAGAAGGCATACTAGCAAAGTAGCTGAGAATTTGGTTGAATGAAGCAATGGAATTGACTTGAAATAGGACTCATTCGGCAAAATTGACAATGTGTAAAATATGCCCAGACTGTTAACTTTGTGCCTGCAAGTTTTATATCAAATTTCATGTTTTTGGTGTCATTTTCTTCAGGAAAAGATTCTTTACCTTTCAGATTTTTTTTTAAATGTGGACGGAGTGGGCATTTTTAATTTCGAGGGTATGGACAGTGTAAGGTTTAATATGCTTGATCATATACCTCATTAGATGAATAATCACTGTTACAGCCTATGTCATCTGTCTGTGAATCCATATCTTCTTAATTTCTTTCTTTCAATAAACTGGCCATATCCCACCAAAGCAGGGTGGTCCAAAAAGAAAAACAAAAGTTTCTCTTTTTAACTCTAGTAATGTATACAGGAGAAGGGATTACTAGCCCCTTCCCCCTGGCATTTTAGTCGTCTCTTACAATATGCATGGCTTACAGAGGAAGAATTCTGTTCCACTTCCCCATGGAAATGAATCTACATATGTATGTGTATTTAGTATTAACTATATTGATCAAATGACTATGTTCAGATGGAATCAAATATTTGCATAGGATTTTGCTGTCATATTGATCTACTTGAAACTGAACTTGTTTAAACTTTTTATCTTGAAACATCTATAATTAAAGATGATGAGTACTACTATTTTCCAATTTGTCATTAACCATTTTGTCTTACTCAGATGTTGATGAGCAAGATAAATCACTCCTGGAAAAAGCAGGCTTCTTAAGTGAAGAGGAGAAGGCTTTCCATAAACAGATCTTGTCTTCTATTGTCTCCATCCACAATCATGTTCCCCTGTAAGTTAATAATTAGCATACATGTCTATTTTATTTGGAATTTAAAAGTTTTTTTATAATGGATAAAAGTTATTTCAAAATAGAGGCACTGTTTTGATTTTTTTAAAATTAATAAACTAATTCACTAATTTTCTCTCCACTCTTTTACCTCTTATTTCTTACTGACATTGTTTGCAGTTCTGACATTTGTAATTGGCATTAATAGTTGGGGGTTCGTATATGCAGATATGTATAGACATATCACTGTACTCTACTTGGCAGCCAAGTGAGGTGTACAATATACCTCTACATAGGCTCTTACTGACTGGCTTCACACTCATAATTCCTGAAGATGTCTTTTGGAAAGGCTAAAATGCCTAAAGATATAGATACAAGTTTTTTTTTTTAAACTTGGTCATTTTTGAAGAACAAAGCACATGTGCAATACCCAAGAATCTATCAACTTGTCAGTACAGCAGTACCTTGCATAGTATGATTAACCCTTTCAGGGTCCATGCTGTAGATCTACAGCTTTACGTTGAGGGTCCAAACCATAGATCTACGTCACGAGCTCAGCTCACTCTGATAAGCTGTGAGCGGTAAATTTGGGCCTAGATATGGGAGAATACATCTATGTGGTATGTGTGCACCACATAAAATAAATCCTGCAGCACACAGTGCATAATGAGAGAAAAAAACTGAGACCGTAATTTTTGACTAAAACAGCGACTTTGCAGTGTTTTTTCGTATGTTTTTTATAGTTGTATTTGCGATTTCTTGGTCTCATTTGATAGAATGGAAGAGATATTACAGAAATAGAGATGATTTTGATTGGTTTTAGTACTGAAAATGGCTTGAAACTGAGCTCAAAGTAGCAGAAATGTTAAATTTTTGCCGATGTTCAAGAGTAAACAAATGACCTCACATGTCTAATACACACCAGCTGGTGGGTCTAATATACGTTCACAAATGTGGTGATATTACTTATACAATTATTACAATATTGCATAACAGTAAATCTTCTATTTTTTGGTTTGAATAAAAATTCATTATGTTAATAAAAAATCAAAATGGAATTAATTTGTAAAGCCTGAAAGCGTAACTAATGAACAGAGGAAATGTTAGTTTAGTGCCAGGAATGCCTGCATTGTTTATTCTGGACCCTATTTTGTAATTGGAATATTTTGAACTTTGTATTAAATTGGCCAAATTACCAATTTCCGATCACTTTATTTTGTAGTTAAAACAGTTGACTTGACGATTTCTTGTGCTCAATCGATAGAATAGAAGTAATACTAGTGAAATAGCTAAGAATTTGGTCAATTGAAATAATGTGATTTGCCTAAAATGGGAGTCAAATTCGGCAAAATCGCCGATGCATAAATTACGCTGACACATCAAAATTCACGAGAGCATAATTTCATCAAGTTTCAATCATATTTTGTATTTTTTGTTTTATTACCTTCAGAAAAAGATTCTCTACCATTTCATAAGAAAAAATAACAAAATTATTTTTTGAAAATTCTTGGGCCCTGGTGCACACTTTGAAATTTGGCCTCTGGACCCTGACAAAGTTAATGAATGTCAAAAAACTGCCATACTGATCAAGGTGCTATTATAATGTGTCTTAGTGTAATGGGTTCCAACAATATGATTAAATGCATTGGATTGCAAAAATATTTAGCCATTTGCTTAGTACAAATCAGTGCACACGAAACTCTTGCACACATTTGCGAATAAAAAATTACAAAAGAGAAAAACAAACAAATAATAGTAATAAAGATTTTCATTACAGCTGTAAATAAACAGTGTACCATATATGCAGTAAAGAAAAGGATCATTTTTATTTTGAAAAATAATAGTTGAATGTAGTTTTTGTAATGCCTACCTAACTCTAATGATTCATTCAGTGTTTGGATTTGCACTCATTATGAAGTCACCAGTGTCTTCTACTTTCGCAGTTAACAATGATAATTCATCCAATGTGAATTCTTCCGAGGGCAGTACAAATGTATGTACTCTTATTAAATAGTAAAATCAATAAACTTGAAAACATAAACATGAAAAAACTATCATAAATTAATATGCAATCCTGCACACGAAAATCACTCCATATGAAAGCAAAAGACACGGCAGGAGATGCAACATTCCCCCGATGAAAAGCAGGGGCGCCACAAGTACACTGAGAGACAACACAGTAAGTGTCCGGGGCCCGAGACTGTTCAATTGCCTCCCAGCATACATAAGGGGGATTATCAATAGACCCCTGGCTGTCTTCAACAAGGCACTGGACAGGCACCTAAAGTCAGTACCTGACCAATCGGGCTGTGGTTCGTACGTCAGCTTGCGTGCGGCCAGCAGTAACAGCCTGGCTGATCAGACCCTGATCCACCATGAGGCCTGGTCTCAGACTGGGCCGCGGGGGCATTGACCCCCGTAACCCTCTCCAGGTAATCTTAGCCATACACACATTCATTTGCATGCATCAAGACAGTGAGTAGAAAGAGGACACTGCCAGTCAGGTCCAGTTCACATATGTACTGTACGTGACTTATATGAGTGATAGTGTTCTGCAAATGTTCAATTGCAGCTAAATTGACTGACATTCAAAGTCACAAAAATACTGCCAGGCACAGGTAAACTGAAGAACCATTCTGTATACAGTGGAAATCAAGTACCTCAATGGAAATTAAGGCCTTAATGGAAATCAAGGACCCCAGTGGAAATAAGTCACTTGTTTGACTTTTTTGGGTTATCATAGGTAATTTACACTTTTTTTTTTGTTTGTGTAACTGTATTTATGTATACCTGCACCTAAATAAACTTACTAATTTGAAACCCTAAACGATGATGTAAGAAGAACAGAGGGAAATAATCTTGTTTACTGTAAAATACAGTAAATGAAATTTATATTATTAAATTTATGAACTGTATTATATCAAAACCTGTATTGTTCAAAACTGTACAATGCAAGGTATTGCTGTATTGTATATCATTTATAATATAGTTATTTTTGAAGGAGCCATTGTAGGCTAGTGGTGAAATATTGAATGAAGTGAGTCTGTTTTTCTGTATTGTGAATGGCTGTAAGTCTTGATTGCAATTAGTTTTTCAATTTAAATATGGAATGATTCTGTTAACTTAAAGCATTTAAAGGGTATAAACATTGTAGTGAAGATGAGCCTGAAGGCAATAGAGATATGCTTGACAGCAGATTTTATCCATTAAGTCTGATATCTTTTAAATCAGGCTCTGCTAAGTCAAGCTTTTTCCATAATTTTGTATTTTTGTACACTTTTCACAGGATCCGAGACAAATTGTTGGTGTTGGCTAGGAAGTGTATGCCCTATTTTCGACAGCATGTTCATCAACATGCTGTTTATACCCAAAACTTGTTACACTTGTGCAGCTTTCTTCCTCATTTGCGAGTGGGTCTTCTTGAAATTATCATCACAAAGTGAGTACTTATACACCTTTATAAGTAATCATTACTAGAATAGTCAGACATTACAGGTTGACCATCACTAATCTGGCATCATTGAGACCTGTAGGGTGTCAGATTAGTGGTTTTGCTGGATTACAAAGTGGTTAGGCTAGAATACACTTAACCCAATAGCTAACCACCTCATGCTACCTTTAAAATACCCTGTAAATCTGTACAAGTTAGTTAAGCCTTTCACTGTCGCAACCCCTGCTCACAAACTTACTCAAAGTGTCGAAGAATTTAAAAAAAAATTATTTTATTTTATGAAATGATAGACTTTTTCCGAAGGTAATGAAACCAAAAATGCAAAATTTGATGGAAACTTATGGAATTATGCTCTTGCAAAGTTAGCAGTCTCGATGATATTTATGCATCAATGATTTCGCTCACTTTATGCCCTATTTTTGGCCAATTCCATTGTTCCAATCAATGAAACTCAAAGCTGTTTTCTAGTATTCTTTCTATTCTGTCGATTGAGTACAAAAAATCACCCATTTACCTATTTCAACTACCCAATAAAGTGATCAGAAATCAGTAATTCGGCCAATTTCACACAGATTTCAAGAGATGCCAATTTCAAAATAGTGTCCAGAATGAACACTGCAGATATTCCTAGCTTTAAAAGAACGTCATGTGTCCAGACCCCTCTTATATTATGCTTGCTTTCCGTTCTGAATTTTTATTCACACAAAAAATAGATTTACTGTTATGCAGACTACTGCATTATTGTAATAATTGTACATATAAATAATGTCAACCCATTCCTGACCGCATATTAGACCAGCCATATTAGGTTATGGGTGTTATTAGTTGTCCCACTCATCTTGCAGACAGGAAGTCTGTAGATTTGAATAAGCGTCAAACTGCAGGGATGTGCAGTATGTTTGCACATACTAAGACTAATAACTGGATACTTGAGGTACATTTTCACATTAATATGAAAATTACATACCATATACAAATAACCCGCACATAGGAGAAAGAAACTTTGATGACATTTCGGCCCGACTTGGACCATTAAGCCTTTGACGGTTTTGGTCGTATATATACGTCTTACGAGCCAGTGTTTCGGACGTATATATATACTCAATAATTCTAGTGGCTTCAAATCAAGCAGGAGAAAGCTGGTAGGCCCACATGTGAGAGAATGGGTCTGTGTGGTCAGTGTGCACCACATAAAAAAAATCCTGCAGCATGCAGTGCATAATGAGAAAAAAAATGGACCGTTTTTTAGGATTAAAACGCCGAATTTGAGGTGTATTTTCATATAGTATTTATCGTTGTATTCTCATTTTCATGGTCTCAGGTGATAAAATGGAAATCATATTGCAGAAATAGAGATGATTTTTATTAGTTTCACGATGAAAACGACCTTGAAATTGAGTTCAAAGTAGCAGAAATGTTCGATTTTTACCAGTGTTCAAGAGTAAGCAAATCACACCACACGTCCAATACATGTCAACTGGGGAGTCTGATATTCTTTCACTAGTGCACTGATATTATTTATACCATTTTTACAATAATGCAGTAGTCTGCATAACAGTAAATTTTGAGTGTGTTAGATAGGAATGAGTGGGGGCAAATGTTTTTTGGGACTTGACAAGCTGTTGGAGTGTGAACAAGGTAACATTTTGTGAAGGGATTCAGGGAATTGGTTAGTTGAACTTCCTGGAGTTGAAAAGTACACTGCCTACACTCTGAAGGAGGGGTTTGGAATATTTGCAGTTTGGAGGGGCATCTGAACTGTAGTGTCTATGTGCTTCTAGCAAGACAGTGATAAAGTGAATGATTGTTAAAGTTCCTCTCTCAGGTCAACCAGCCTTGGTGGAAGGCACCTAGTGTGTTAAAATACCTAAATATATATTTATGTATAGTACTAAATTTTCTCCATGGGGAAGTGGAACAGAATTCTTCCTCCGTAAGCCATGCGTGTCGTAAGAGGCGACTAAAATGCCGGGAGCAAGGGGCTAGTAACCCCTTCTCCTGTATAAATTACTAAATTTAAAAAGAGAAACTTTCGTTTTTCTTTTTGGGCCACCCTGCCTTGGTGGGATACGGCCGGTGTGTTGAAAGAAGAAGAATACTAATTTTTTATTTATATAGATACATACCTATCGTTTTATTAAATTTTTGTTCTCTACAGCATGGCAACAATTGATGTCCACATACCACGCTCTGCACTGACTCCATTAGAAGATGACAATGATGAGGATGAGGAGGAGGTGGAGGAAGATGGAAATAGTGAAGACGATGAAATATTTAATATGGTGGTTCTTAAAGGATTTTATTTTATGAGATTTCCATTGTCTCTTGTCTATAATTATGTGTTAGCTTTAGACCATTATCCTTTGTTCCACGTAGTCTATATAAACACTTTTGGTACAGTACCCCATCAGCTGTAGACCTACCCAGTAAATGAATTTCCTTTGATGCTCAAAATGTTTTATTAGTCAAGATCCTCATGAAATGTCAAAGATATAATCATTATGACTTGGCTTGGGGAATACATACACTTTACTTTTACTTGGAAAGAGATATACAGCATTAGTGCTGGAGGACATTTTCACTTTTTTTTTTTTCAACCTTACTGGCTATCTCCTACCAAGTTAGGGTGGCCCAAAGGAAGAATATTCACTGTCATTCATGCATACATAACAGTTCAAATGCTCCTCCAAACTGCAACATCCCCACTCGATTTTCTCTTAAGAGCTCAGGCACTGTATTTCTCACTCCCTGACTCAAGCCAGGCTAACTGCATTCTGTGAATTTTTTCATAAATCTTACCTTGCTCACACTAACAGAATGTGAAGCCATGAATCATTCTCTCTGCTCTAACATGCTAACACATACTTGCTAAATGCTTAAGTTCCTACACTTAAATCCTCCTTTACCCACTCATTCCAATGTTTCCTAGGACAACCCCTACCCATCCTTTCTTCCACCCAAAATTTATGCATCTAATGGATTTTTTTTTTTTTTTTATTATCACACTGGCCGATTCCCACCAAGGCAGGGTGGCCCGAAAAAGAAAAACTTTCACCATCATTCACTCCATCACTGTCTTGCCAGAAGGGTGCTTTACACTACAGTTTTTAAACTGCAACATTAACACCCCTCCTTCAGAGTGCAGGCACTGTACTTCCCATCTCCAGGACTCAAGTCCGGCCTGCCGGTTTCCCTGAATCCCTTCATAAATGTTACTTTGCTCACACTCCAACAGCACGTCAAGTATTAAAAACCATTTGTCTCCATTCACTCCTATCAAACACGCTCACGCATGCCTGCTGGAAGTCCAAGCCCCTCGCACACAAAACCTCCTTTACCCCTCCCTCCAACCCTTCCTAGGCCGACCCCTACCCGCCTTCCTTCCACTACAGACTGATACACTCTTGAAGTTATTCTGTTTCGCTCCATTCTCTCTACATGTCCGAACCACCTCAACAACCCTTCCTCAGCCCTCTGGACAACAGTTTTGGTAATCCCGCACCTCCTCCTAACTTCCAAACTACGAATTCTCTGCATTATATTCACACCACACATTGCCCTCAGACATGACATCTCCACTGCCTCCAGCCTTCTCCTCGCTGCAACATTCATCACCCATGCTTCACACCCATATAAGAGCGTTGGTAAAACTATACTCTCATACATTCCCCTCTTTGCCTCCAAGGACAAAGTTCTCTGTCTCCACAGACTCCTAAGTGCACCACTCACTCTTTTTCCCTCATCAATTCTATGATTCACCTCATCTTTCATAGACCCATCCGCTGACACGTCCACTCCCAAATATCTGAATACGTTCACCTCCTCCATACTCTCTCCCTCCAATCTGATATTCAATCTTTCATCACCTAATCTTTTTGTTATCCTCATAACCTTACTCTTTCCTGTATTCACCTTTAATTTTCTTCTTTTGCACACCCTACCAAATTCATCCACCAATCTCTGCAGCTTCTCTTCAGAATCTCCCAAGAGCACAGTGTCATCAGCAAAGAGCAGCTGTGACAACTCCCACCCTGTGTGTGATTCTTTATCTTTTAACTCCACGCCTCTTGCCAAGACCCTCGCATTTACTTCTCTTACAACCCCATCTATAAATATATTAAACAACCACGGTGACATCACACATCCTTGTCTAAGGCCTGCTTTTACTGGGAAAAAATTTCCCTCTTTTCTACATACTCTAACTTGAGCCTCACTATCCTCGTAAAAAACTCTTCACTGCTTTCAGTAACCTACCTCCTACACCATACACTTGCAACATCTGCCACATTGCCCCCTATCCACCCTGTCATACGCCTTTTCCAAATCCATAAATGCCACAAAGACCTCTTTAGCCTTATCTAAATACTGTTCACTTATATGTTTCACTGTAAAGACCTGGTCCACACACCCCCTACCTTTCCTAAAGCCTCCTTGTTCATCTGCTATCCTATTCTCCGTCTTACTCTTAATTCTTTCAATTATAACTCTACCATACACTTTACCAGGTACACTCAACAGACTTATCCCCCTATAATTTTTGCACTCTCTTTTATCCCCTTTGCCTTTATACAAAGGAACTATGCATGCTCTCTGCCAATCCCTAGGTACCTTACCCTCTTCCATACATTTATTAAATAATTGCACCAACCACTCCAAAACTATATCCCCACCTGCTTTTAACATTTCTATCTTTATCCCATCAATCCCGGCTGCCTTACCCCCTTTCATTTTACCTACTGCCTCACGAACTTCCCCCACACTCACAACTGGCTCTTCCTCACTCCTACAAGATGTTATTCCTCCTTGCCCTATACACGAAATCACAGCTTCCCTATCTTCATCAACATTTAACAATTCCTCAAAATATTCCCTCCATCTTCCCAATACCTCTAACTCTCCATTTAATAACTTCCTCTCCTATTTTTAACTGACAAATCCATTTGTTCTCTAGGCTTCCTTAACTTGTTAATCTCACTCCAAAACTTTTTCTTATTTTCAACAAAATTTGTTGATAACAGCTCACCCACTCTCTCATTTGCTCTCTTTTTACATTGCTTCACCACTCTCTTAACCTCTCTCTTTTTCTCCATATACTCTTCCCTCCTTGCATCACTTCTACTTTGTAAAAACTTCTCATATGCTAACTTTTTCTCCCTTACTACTCTCTTTACATCATCATTCCACCAATCGCTCCTCTTCCCTCCTGCACCCACTTTCCTGTAACCACAAACTTCTGCTGAACACTCTAACACTACATTTTTAAACCTACCCCATTCCTCTTCGACCCCATTGCCTATGTCTCTCATTAGCCCATCTATCCTCCAATAGCTGTTTATATCTTACCCTAACTGCCTCCTCTTTTAGTTTATAAACCTTCACCTCTCTCTTCCCTGATGCTTCTATTCTCCTTGTATCCCATCTACCTTTTACTCTCAGTGTAGCTACAACTAGAAAGTGATCTGATATATCTGTGGCCCCTCGATAAACATGTACATCCTGAAGTCTACTCAACAGTCTTTTATCTACTAATACATAATCCAACAAACTACTGTCATTTCGCCCTACATCATATCGTGTATACTTATTTATCCTCTTTTTCTTAAAATATGTATTACCTATAACTAAACCCCTTTCTATACAAAGTTCAATCAAAGGGCTCCCATTATCATTTACACCTGGCACCCCAAACTTACCTACCACACCCTCTCTAAAAGTTTCTCCTACTTTAGCATTCAGGTCCCCTACCACAATTACTCTCTCACTTGGTTCAAAGGCTCCTATACATTCACTTAACATCTCCCAAAATCTCTCTCTCTCCTCTGCATTCCTCTCTTCTCCAGGTGCATACACGCTTATTATGACCCACTTCTCGCATCCAACCTTTACTTTAATCCACATAATTCTCGAATTTACACATTCATATTCTCTTTTCTCCTTCCATAACTGATCATTTAACATTACTGCTACCCCTTCCTTTGCTCTAACTCTCTCAGATACTCCAGATTTAATCCCATTTATTTCCCCCCACTGAAACTCTCCTACCCCCTTCAGCTTTGTTTCGCTTAGAGCCAGGACATCCAACTTCTTTTCATTCATAACATCAGCAATCATCTGTTTCTTGTCATCCGCACTACATCCACGCACATTTAAACAACCCAGTTTTATAAAGTTTTTCTTCTTCTCTTTTTTAGTAAATGTATACAGGAGAAGGGGTTACTAGCCCATTGCTCCCGGCATTTTAGTCGCCTCATACGACACGCATGGCTTACGGAGGAAAGATTCTTTTCCACTTCCCCATGGACAATAGAAGAAATAAAAAAGAACAAGAGCTATTTAGAATAAGGAGAAAAACCTAGATGTATGTATATATATATATATGCATGTGCGTGTCTGTGAAGTGTGACCAAAGTGTAAGTAGGAGTAGCAAGATATCCCTGTTATCTAGCGTGTTTATGAGACAGAAAAAGAAAACCAGCAATCCTACCATCATGCAAAACAGTTACAGGTTTTTGTTTCACAGTCATCTGGCAGGACGGTAGTACTTCCCTGGGTGGTTGCTGTCTACCAACCTACTACCTAAATGCTGCAGCAAGGAGGAGGCTGGAAGCACTGGAGGTGTTGTAACTAAAGTCAATGTGTGGTTTAAATATTATGGATACGTATACTTTATTCTGCTTTATCCTTTCTGAGCTCCAAATTCATTACATTATATTCACACAGCATATTGCTCTCACATAAGACATCACACCCTCTAGCCTCCTCACTGCAATGTTTAAAGTTAAGCACCCATGTAAAAGTATTAGTGTACCCTTGAACCATTTTCCTTTGTTTTTAGCATTAATAGATACTCTCTTTTCTTTCCACTTGTCTATTTTTTTCCCTTCATCTAACATGCTCATGAAGAGTTTATCATAATATACATATAAAATTTTATTAATTTTCACAAAACATTTCTCAGTGAGAATATTTTGCTTTAGTTATGTTATTGATTATAGTATATTATTTCACATGTGAATTATATATTCATGTAATGAAAATATAAACACAGTAGACAGGAACAATTTTAAGAATATTGCAAATATTTGAACAAATATTGTCAAATATAATTAATGATGTTGCAGGTGTATGGAATAGTTAGTAAGTTACTAAATTCTGTAAAGAGTTTTTTATGAGGATAGTGAGACTCACGTTAGGGTATGTAGGAGAGAGGGAAATTACTTCCCAGTAAAAGTAAGCCTTAGACAGGGATGTGCAATGTCACCATGGTTGTTTAACATTTTTATAGATGAGGTTGTAAAAGAAATAAATGCTGGGGTGTTGGGGAGAAGGGGTGGCATTAAATTATGGGAAATCAAATTCAGAATGGGAGTTGACACAGTTATTGTTTGCTTATGATACTGTGCTTTTGGTAGATTCTAAAGAAAAGTTGCAAAAGTTAGTTTGGGAGGGTGTGTAAAGGAAGAAAGTTGAAAGGGAACATAGATAAGGGTAAGGTGATGAGGGTATTACATGAGTTTGGTAAAGAAAAAAAATTTGGACATATTGGAAGGAGGGAGTATGGAAGAAGTGAATGTGTTCAGATATTTGGGAGCAGACTTGTCAGCAGATGGGTTTATGAAGGACTAGGTAAACCATAGAATTAATGAAGGAAAAAGAGTGGGTGGTTCATTGAGATATCTGAGAAGACAAAGAACATTGTCCATGAAGGCAAAGAAGGGAATGTATTAGAGTATATTGGTACTAATACTCTTATATGGGTGTGAAAGATGGGTTGTAAATGCTGCAGCAAGGAGGAGGCTGGAAGCACTGGAGGTGTTGTAACTAAAGTCAATGTGTGGTTTAAATATTATGCAGAGAATTTAGTTTGGAAATTAGAAGATGTGAGTTACTAAAAGTATTGTTCAGAGGGAAGGAAAGGTAGGGGTCATCCTAGAAAAGGATGGAGGGAGGGGGTGAAAGATGTTTTGTGTGCAAAGGGCTTGGACATACAGCAGAGCACATGTTAGATAAGAGTGAATCGAGATGAATGGTTTTTGGGATTTGACGAGCAGTTGGAGTGTGATCAGGGTAATACTTTGTGAAGGGATTCAGGGGAAATTGGTTAGCCAGACTTGAGTCATGGTGGTGGGAAGTACAATGCCTGCACTTTAAAGGAGAGGTTTGCATTATTGGCTTTTTTGGGTCACCCTGCCTTGGTGGGAGATGACTGACATGTTAAAAAAAAAATGAAAAGGATTTTTATAAAATAGTTTATTGGAAGGAACGATTGAATGACATGTTTCTGTTTTTAATAATTCATGTTTAGTATTGTACACTGTCTGTGAAACAGCAGAGATATTGTTGTGGATATCTTACCTCACTGTGTTGACTTTGCCAAATGTGGTAGATACAGTATTGTTATTTGGTTATTTGCAATGTAGCATCTGAAACCCTTCATTACAAGGGCTTTTTTCTTCCACTGAATTAATATTAATGTATAAAAATATTTGAGACCATTCCTACTTTATTAAATTCCTAAGGTACAAACATTTGCACTAAAAAATGAGGCACTTAAAAGTTCTTTTTTTAATCATTAAAGTTTTTTTTTTCAGACACTGGAATGTGAGAGCAAGGAACAAATGAAGATAGAAAAGGATGATGATGAAATTATTTTGAAAACAACATTCACTATCATGGATAACAAGGATGGAAATACATTGGATGTACTGATGATCATTATGCTTCAGTATGTTCATAATGTTTGTCATGGCATTATTGAGCCTGGAAAACCCACAGAACTTGGCAAGAATAGTTTGCAATTAAAATACACATGGGAACCATTACAGGACGGTAAAAAAAAGTGCCGTGCAGGGTCAGTCAGGTTAAGTAATGGTGGTGAAAATAGAACAATAGGATGTGAATGTGGTGGAAGTGAACATGACATAGAAGCAATAAAACTTCTTTTTACTGAACTAAAAGAAGTGTTCTCCAACATCATTTTGTGTACTCATTCGTCATCACATGTTCAGTTTCTGTTGTTTTACCTCCTTGCCTTAAGACCAGGTTTGGCTACTATCTTCCTAGATTTTTTAAGAATTAAAAAATTTGAAAATCCCAGTTGTTCAAGAGATATTAGACGAAATGCCATGGCTTATATTGGTAGCCTCTTAGCCCGAGGAAAATACATACCATTTATTCATGTTAATTCATGCCTGGAGTTAATCTGTGCATGGTGCAGCACTTATCTTGAAAACCAGGTAAGTTGCTTGAGTTAGATATTACTAAAATGTTCAGTAGCACTAGTTAACAAAAACATGAGCCACCAAGCAGAGGGAAAGCAAAGCATGAGTGGGCAAAGGATTACAATTTTTTTTTGTATATCACATCATGTGGGATTAGTTATCAGGTAAAGACAGTCATGTTTCTTAACTTCCTCCTGTTTCAGAGGTGTATAACTTTATGGGTTTAGTGTTTGCCCATGAATGTAGTAATGTGTTTCCCAGTATGTGAGGTCAGAAGTGGTGCAGTTTGGAAAACTTTGTTCTGCTGAAAATGCTTTAAGGTAAGAGTAAGTTACAATACCTTAGATGAAACAATTCAAAATTCTATTTTTTTTAAGGGATTTAATTTTGACCTTCAAAAGGTGGCTGCTTCTTGGAACTGCCATCTAAATGTTTAATTTCCACCACCTCAAACTTCACTTGGTGTTGCACCACCATTGATTTCATTTACTGCACCACCATTGACTTCATTTGCTGCACCACCTCTGATTTCACTTGTCTTTAGAAAATTATAAATATCTGTAGATAAGAAACAGATCGTAACTAATGAGCCTTACAAAATACTGTATTGTAATCCTCCCATCACTTTGCTCATCCCTGCTTAGTAGGTTATGTCTACTCTTCGCTTCTCTCTGTAGAGTTATTCTGATATTCTCAAAATGCATCATGCTTATCATATATGGCATTTTAATATATTTGCAGATAATTTTATTGTTTTGTGTAAAGGAAGAAAGTTGAAAGTGAATATAGATAAAAGTAAGGTGATGAAGGTATCAAACGAGTTAGGTAAAGAAAAATTGAGTATCAGATTGGAGGGAAGGAATATGCAAGAAATGAATGTGTTCAGATATTTGGGAGTAGACTTGTCAGTGGATGGGTTATTGAAGGAAAAGGTAAACCATAGAATTGATGAAAGAATAAAGGTGGGTGGTGCACTTAGGTATCATTGGAGACAAGAACATTATCCATGGAGGCAAATAAGGTAATGTATGAAAGTATAGTGTTACCAATACTTACATAAGTGTGAAGCATGGCTTGTGAATGTTACAGCAAGAAGGAGGCTGGAGGCAGTGAAGATGTCATGTCTAAGGGCAGTGTGTGGCATAAATATTATGTAGAGAATTCGTAGTATGGAAATTAGGAGGAGGTGTGGAGTTACTAAAAGTATTATTCAGAGGGCTGAGGAGGGGTTATTGAGAGGATGGAACACAATAGGATGACTTGTATAAATTTGTGGTGGAGGGAAGGAGGGGTAGGGGTCATCCTAGGAAAGGATGGAGGGGGAGGGGATAAAAGAGGTTTTGTGTCCAAGGGTCTTGGACATGCAGTAGGCATATATGAACATTTTAAATAGGAGTGAGAGGAGACGAATGGTTTTTGGGACTTGATGAGCTGTTGGAGTTTAAGCAAGGTAATATTTTGTGAAGGGATTCGGGGAAACCAGTTGGTCAGACTTGAGTCCTGGAGGTGGGAAGTACAGTACCTGCACTTTAAAGGAAGAGTTTGGGATATTTGTCATTTAGAGTAACATCTAAACTGTTGTATCTGTGCACCTCCTTCAAAGACAGTGATAGTGTGAATGATTGTGAGTTTCTTTTTTTTTTGGGTCACCCTGCCTTAGTGGGAGATGGCCAGTGTGTTGAAAAAAGAAAAGAAAAATTGTTTGTCCTTTAACATTATACTGTACTGTGCTTATTTATTTTCATTCAGATTTTCAACTATATATATTTTTTTGTGATTTAATTAGAATTAACAGCTGAATCTTTTATTTTCTTTCATAAAGTGCCTGAATATTTTTGTGCTACACTAAACTTTTCCATTTTGTTTGATATTACTCTAATTTACCTTGCATATCACAACATCTTTGTCCAGGCTTATTCCTTGGGTCTTCGAGACAATCTGCTGCTCTTCCTTGAAAATTTCTTGAGGGAGAGAGACTTTTGTGTCTGGGTTAATATGTTATTCCCTTTGTCCAGGCTAAAGGCATCCCTCAGGGTTGTGTTCATAACACCTCCTTGTTTCTGCTTGCTATTAATGACCTTGCCTCTGTTCTTCCATCCGATACTTGGTCATCACTTTGCCAATGATTTTGCCATAGCTCATGCATGGCTTACCTGGTAGCAGCCTTTCTCCAGAATGCAATTGACTGGGCCATCTCTCGTGGGTTTAAATTTTCTGTTACTAAAATGCATCGGATTACTTTTAGGGACAGTAGGGCATCTTGTAATTCCACATTATACTGTATGGTTCCTGTATCCATGAATGAGATATGGTCAAATTCCTCAGCCTTCTGAGGAATTTAACCATGTTCTGGAACCCTTGTATAACCTCCATGAAAGCAGTTTGCCATAACCAACTGAACCTCTTTAAAACTCTTGTCCATCTTTCTTTGAGACTGATAGAAGATCTCTTCATCTTCATTGTACTGTAAATCTTGTCTAAATTGGAGTATGGCAATCTGCTTTATTCTTCAGCCTCTCTCACTACTCTTTAAACTATTCTGCTCATCATCAAGGGTTATGTTTGTGTCTAGGTGCTTTTCGTTGCCTAGCACCAGGCATTACAATGCATGACTGCAGCTGCTTAGTGCTAGGCTTTACAAACAAGAGTGCAGCTGGCTAGTACCAGTGTGTGCATATTATACTCTCATGTGCACACACACTTACATAAATACAATAGAGATGTCATGTTTGAGGACAGTATGTGATGTAAATATTATGCAAAAAATTTGGAACTTGGAGATTAGAAAATGTGGAATTACTAAAAGTATTATTTAGAGGGTGGAGGGGGATGTTGTTGAGTGGGTTTTGACATTGAGAGAATGGAGCAAAATAGGATGACTAGGAGGATGTGTAAATCTAGGGTAGAGGTAAAAAGGGGTAGGGGGTCTTCCCAGTAAGGATTGGAGGGATGGGGTAAGGGATGTTTTGAGTGCTGGGAGCTTGGATGTCTCATAGGCTAGTGTGAATGTGTTAGGAGTGAGTGGAAGTAAGTGGCTTTTGGGGGGGGGGGGGCTTGCTGTTGGAGTGTGAGTAGACTAACATGGTGATTTAGGGAAACTGGTTAGCAGGATTTGAATCCTGGAGGTGGGAAGTACATTGCCTGAACTGTAAATGAGGGGTGGGGATGTTGCAGTGCAGGAGGTCATCTGAGCTTTGATGTCATTCACAAAACAGTGTTTGAATGAGTGATGATGAAAGTATTTTTTTATTTAAAAATATATTTATATTTTTTCAGGGGAATAATTTTTTAATGAGGTAATTTGTTATCTCTAGCTATAGTACTGTATTTTTAGTTTATTTTTTTTAGCTGATCGTTTTGCATTACCCAGCATTCTTGTGTCCCCCTTGGCCAACCTTCCTTGTGAATCCCTGATTAACCAAGCTGTTGTGATTTGCAGCTAGGGGTCCATATAGCCTTTACAAGGAGGCATATGTAGCACATTCTGTGGAGGCATGCTTTAGTTTCCTTTTGAAGACTTCCGTTGTACCAGTAATATGCTGGTACCAGGTTAAGAGTTGTGGATTTTGAATATTGGCACTCTTCTTCATTTGTGCTTATGAGACCGTTGCTTATATTTTAAGTTTATTCTACCGTTTGTCCTATATCTCTCTCTAGTATGTTATTCTCATTAAGTACTTTTAAGAGGATCATCACTAACATGACTTGCTTCCAAAGTTTTTGTAATCCACACTTATTTTTCCTCATCTTGGCTACATTTGCTTTGCTCCTAAATCTTGACCTGTTTCTTTCATTCTATAACCAAGTCTGACTGCATTTCATATCCTGTAATTGTTTTGAGATTTTTATCATTTTGAAGTAGTTGGAATTTTCTATTGTTAAATATGAGTTATTTTCTCTTGCCCAAATAAGTGATTTTGTTGTCATTTTGTAGTTTTTCAATGACCTGCTAAAGTAATTTTCATGCTTATTTTGGTATTCACATAAGATATGAATGTGTGGCGTGCATTTTTATATTTGATGAGATTGAGAAAGGGTTAGGGTAGAAATGAGCTTTTTACCTGTATAGCACTCTTAGTAGGATTTATTTTTGCTTACCATCACTGTGATTTGTTTGTTAACCCTTTCAGGGTTGAGAGGCCCTCTCCTAAACTTGTTCTCAGGGTTGGAAATTTTTCAGAAAAAAAGTTATTTTTTCTTATGAAAAGATGATCTTTTCCCGATCATAATGACACCAAAAGTATGAAATTTGATGGAAAACTTATGGAATTATGGTCTCGCGAAGTTAGCGGTCTCGGCGATGTTTACACATCAGCGATTTCACCCAATTTGAGCCCTACTTTCGGCCAGTTCCAGGGTACTAGTCGACAAAAATCATAACTATTTCGCTATAACTCCATTTTTTCTATCGATTGAGTACAAGAAACCACCCATTTTCTGATTTTAACTATCCAATAAAGTGGTCAGAAATTAGCAATTTTGCCAATTTCACACAAATTTCAAAAGATGCCAGTTTCCAAATAGGGTCCAGAATAAACAAGACAGACATTCCTGGCACTAAAATAACATTTTCTCTGTTCATTAGTCATGTTCCCCAGGCCCCTCTTACATTTCTTTTGCTTTCCACTTTGAATTTTTATTCTCACAAAAAATAGAATATTTACTGTTATGCAGACTACTGCATCAGTGTAGAAATGGTATAAATGACAAAAAAAGGCACAATACCGTGACTGGAACGATACACAAATATCCCGCACATAAAAGAGAGTAGCTTACGACGACGTTTCGGTCCAACTTGGACCATTGACAGAGTCACACTCAGTGTGACTTTGTCAATGGTCCAAGTCGGACCGAAACGTCGTCGTAAGCTTCTCTCTTTTATGTGCAGGTTATTTGTGTAGAAATGGTATGAATAATATCAGGGCACTTGTGAAAGCATATTAGACTCACCAGTTGACGTGTATTGGACGCGTGGAATGATTTGTTTACTTTTGAACTTTGGCAAAAATCAAACATTTCTGCTACTTTGAGCTCAAATTCAAGGTACTTTTTATTGTGAAACCAATCAAAATCATCTCAATTTCTGTAATATGTCTTCCATTCTATAAGATGAGACCAGGAAAACTAGAATACAACCATAAATACCGTACGATAATACATTGCAAAGTTGCTGTTTTAAACCAAAAACACTGTCAAAGTTTTTTTTTTTCTCATTACGCATTGTGTGCTGCAGGATTTTTTTTTACACTGTGCACACTGACCACATAGACCCATTCTTTCATATGTAGGCCTACCAGCTTTCTCTCGCTAGATTTGAAGGCGCTAAAATTTACGCGTATTAGTATGTCAATAACCCTGGTGCGTAAGCCAGTATGTCGGAAACCCTGAGAGGGTTAAATAATTGAATATCCACATCCCTATTTTTCCTTTTATACTCTGAATCTTGCATTATTAGCTATCATTCCATCATCACATTTTTCAAACACTTTTGTAAAATGCCTAAACTGCATCTGCCGGGTTTTTCAGTGTCTAGGTAATTTTGTCATGGTGATCAAGTGGTTGCAAGAGACAGGATCTTGCTTAAGAATAATGTTGAATTGGGTTTTATATCTTGTACTTTTCTGTAAGCTCAATAAGTTGATGTTGTGGTAATACCTTTGTCTTTCATGAAATGTGATGGTATTGCTGATGGTTAGTATTTTTTTTTGCCATTGCTTTGCTTCCTCTATTGTGAAGGTGGTATGTGTCTACAATCTTTTGGGCCTTGGGAACTCAATGTTACTGCTGCCATTATTATTTATATGGCTTTTTAAAACCGGAAATAAAGTACTCTCTAATGGTCACACCTTTAATGTAGGTTCTCTGATGTCTTAATTGTCTCTGATTTACTGTATCAACTGCTAGTGCCCTTTCTTCAACACACTCACCTTCCTTCTTGCACCATTTCTCTCACCTCTGCTATTTAGGATTGTATGACCCTTATGGGTTTAGCTCTTTCCATGAATATAATAATAATACTATGTATTACATGTATCACCAGGAAAGAATGCAGACAAATTACTATGAGGACCTACTGCTTCATTTGCCTTTCTACTATGCCTGTCAGACTGTATTCTATGTGTTTACCTTCAGATATCGAGAATATACAGAAAACAGCAAAAGTAAGTACAGTATCAGCTTAATCTCATGTGAGAGTATCTAATTAATTTATTTTTAGGTCCTGGAAATTATACTGTAATAGAAGTTTCATTGTCATTTATTAAGAGTCTGTTGCTTTGTCTCTACTCTCATCCTCTTCCTTTCTACTTATTTTGTACAAGATAACAATATTTACTTTTGTGATTGTATTTTATTTTTGAAGGCTAGTTTTAGCTTGATTGGTAACGTGTGTGTATACCTTTTTATTAATGACAAGGTGCTGAATGAACTCAGGCTCATGTGCTTTTTAAATATTACAGCTTCCTTTCCAACACCCATCCAGCCCTGACCAACCATAATCAGGAAGCCACAAAACAAAAGGGAATACACATCCAAGTAATAGTAATGTACATACGCATAGATAACATCTCAAACAAGACCACATAGATAAAATTATGAAGTACAGGAATGCTTATTTCATCAAAATATGAAGTACAGGAATGCCTATTTCGTGAAAATAAGATGTCATAATGTAGTCATCATACAGAAACAACTGCCAGGTCAGCAAGCACTCTTCAAGAGAGTTGCCTTGATGCTGGTGAAAGTTTTTTTTATCCAAAGAGTTGGAGCTGCTCTCCCCTTCCTTAGATCAATCCTGATTGCCTCTCATTCCCTGGGATATTGTATGACCCTTACAGGTGTAGCATTTCCCATTACTTTAATATTCATTCACAGTGAAATATGTACAGCACTTGCATAGTGAGTGAAGCAGTGCAATTTTTTTTTTTTCCCCAGAAATGCTGGAAAGCTACAATTACTTTCGTACACACTCGTAGAGAAGTGAGAAATAAAGCACCACTCTTTCACTTGCCAGTGCGAGGATACAATATTCATTTATACTGTACAATATACTGAAAACAATAAGGAAGTAAACCAGAAATAAGCTGCTTTCAGGAAAAGAGCATATTAGATTAGAAGTAATAAACTTGAAAGTATTGTGGGCATACACTGTAATAGTATTAATAATTCATTTAATAGACCTTCATTGATTTATTCATTTTCATTCTTATGTTTCATATCTTATATTTTGTAATATGATCATTCTCTTTACCTATTATTAAAGAAACTGTTTACAATAGTGAGGGTGAGCCAGTCTGGAGGTTATACACAACAGTTCTTGTGTGTGGTGCTTAGCATTTTATTATATTGGGAATGGATCTAACTTGTATAACAATTGTATTGCCTAATTTCTCATGGCCATGTATAATTCTGATCTAATGGTTAATGTATTCACATGAGTTTTCTTCCTACCCAGGACTGGAATTAGCTCGTAAACTCAACTTGGAGCGACTCGTCATGAACCAGTTGAATCCTCTGCGAATGTGTGCCGCCCCTATTGTAAACAACTTTGCAGTAGTGGCACGTCGCTTCCAGCTGGCCTACTGCTATACTATCATGGAAAACAATAAACGACTGGGGATCCCCTCTGCACATGTGGATGGAGGAAAATACACAGGAAACATGACGCTTGACATGTTCTTTCCATTTGATCCCTATCTTTTGCAGAGGTATGTCCTGCTTTTGAATTCCTAAGAAGGTTATGCTATAAAATATATACAGGAGCTCCTTGACTTAAGATGGGATTATGTTCCAACCCCTTCAGGTTATCATACAATTCAGTTTTCGACCACTTGTTTTGGTGAAATTTCCCAATTTTCATACATCCGCTCGGAAATCGTCCGTATCAGACGTGTCCACCTGCCTGGGGGGATGCGGCTGCTCATACGTTCATGACTCAGTCTGCCTTTGTTACTTGTTCACTGAGAGTGTCCCTCTAGTCTTAATGCCATAGTAATAATACATGTACTAATAAGTAATGATAATCATTCTTGGGCACATTCAAATGTCTTATTTTATGTTAATATAGACATTTTCATTAATCCGTCTATGATATTTTCTTCAAAATTATATAAGAAACACATAGCATATAAACATGAAGTGTTTGTACTACGGAGGGGTGGTAGTCAGGTGGAGGGAAAACATTACGTTTTCTCCGGTCCACCACCAGAGAAAACGTATGTATATGAATCTGCGTTGGCCCACTCACCTCCCTTAATACATAACACTTTGTTTATTATTCTCGGCATGAATTATTCATTACTTCTCCCTTTGTTTATGATGGCATCTAAAGGTAGTTGTTAGAAACGCTTAAACTCAGTAAACATGGTATGTCGATGGTAATAATATGGTTCTGGGCCGCATTAAATGTCGTGTAGCTATGTAAGTAGGTGTAGGTGTGTAGCCCAGGTGGACTACATGCCTGCATCTACCGGCTACATACACCTGACTTCCTACAAATAAGTACTACTCACCTTTTGCCCTACATTAAGACTAAAAATATTTTAAGGTAAGTAATGAATGTACTGTGTATGTATTTTACTTTTTATTGTGTTTTTTCATGCCTAGTTCTATTACTAACTTGATGTAAGTTAGTGTAAACTTGACAACCTTATGCCTGTTGTTGAATCTATTGTGGCTTTGGGGAAATCCATGGGGTTGGATGGGAGTGGCCAGGATGTGAAAGAGTTAGTGGACGACCACAGGGAAGAGCTAACCATTGAAGAGCTGCAACATTATAGTTATTCTCTATAAAATTTATTTTTTGTTAATATTTTTGGGTGTCTGGAACGGATTAACTGGATTTACATTATTTCTTACAAAAATATTATACTTCAGTTTTCGTACAAATCAGTTTTCGGCCAATCTTCTGGAACGGATTAAAGACAAAAAACAGGGTTCCACTTTATATTCTTCCTCCGTAAGCCATGCATGTTGTCAGAGGTGACTAAAATGCTGGGAGCGAGGGGCTAGTAACCCCTTCTCCTGTTTACATTACTGAAGTTAATAAGAGAAACTTTCAGTTTTCTTTTTGAGCCACCCTGCCTTGGTGGGATACGACCGGTTTGTTGAAAAAAGAAGAACTAAATTCCAGTATACATTTACTAAAAAAGAGAAGAAGAAAAACTTTATAAAACTGGGATGCTTAAATGTGCGTGGATGTAGTGCGGATGACAAGAAACAGATGATTGCTGATGTTATGAATGAAAAGAAGTTGGATGTCCTGGCTCTAAGTGAAACAAAGCTGAAGGGGGTAGGAGAGTTTCAGTGGGGGGAAATAAATGGGATTAAATCTGGAGTATCTGAGAGAGTTAGAGCAAAGGAAGGGGTAGCAGTAATGTTAAATTATCAGTTATGGAAGGAGAAAAGAGAATATGAATGTGTAAATTCAAGAATTATGTGGATTAAACTAAAGGTTGGATGCGAGAAGTGGGTCATAATAAGCGTGTATGCACCTGGAGAAGAGAGGAATGCAGAGGAGAGAGAGAGATTTTGGGAGATGTTAAGTGAATGTATAGGAGCCTTTGAACCAAGTGAGAGAGTAATTGTGGTAGGGGACCTGAATGCTAAAGTAGGAGAAATTTTTGGAGAGGGTGTGGTAGGTAAGTTTGGGGTGCCAGGTGTAAATGATAATGGGAGCCCTTTGATTGAACTTTGTATAGAAAGAGGTTTAGTTATAGGTAATACATATTTTAAGAAAAAGAGGATAAATAAGTATACACGATATGATGTAGGGCGAAATGACAGTAGTTTGTTGGATTATGTATTGGTAGATAAAAGACTGTTGAGTAGACTTCAGGATGTACATGTTTATAGAGGGGCCACAGATATATCAGATCACTTTCTAGTTGTAGCTACACTGAGAGTAAAAGGTAGATGGGATACAAGGAGAATAGAAGCATCAGGGAAGAGAGAGGTGAAGGTTTATAAACTAAAAGGGGGCAGTTAGGGTAAGATTTTAAACAGCTATTGGAGGATAGATGGGCTAATGAGAGCATAGGCAATGGAGTCGAAGAGGTATGGGGTAGGTTTAAAAATGTAGTGTTAGAGTGTTCAGCAGAAGTTTGTGGTTACAGGAAAGTGGGTGCAGGAGGGAAGAGGAGCGATTGGTGGAATGATGATGTAAAGAGAGTAGTAAGGGAGAAAAAGTTAGCATATGAGAAGTTTTTACAAAGTAGAAGTGATGCAAGGAGGGAAGAGTATATGGAGAAAAAGAGAGAGGTTAAGAGAGTGGTGAAGCAATGTAAAAAGAGAGCAAATGAGAGAGTGGGTGAGATGTTATCAACAAATTTTGTTGAAAATAAGAAAAAGTTTTGGAGTGAGATTAACTAGTTAAGAAAGCCTAGAGAACAAATGGATTTGTCAGTTAAAAATAGGAGAGGAGAGTTATTAAATGGAGAGTTAGAGGTATTGGGAAGATGGAGGGAATATTTTGAGGAATTGTTAAATGTTGATGAAGATAGGGAAGCTGTGATTTCGTGTTTAGGGCAAGGAGGAATAACATCTTGTAGGAATGAGGAAAGAGCCAGTTGTGAGTGTGGGGGAAGTTCGTGAGGCAGTAGGTAAAAGAAAGGGGGTAAGGCAGCCGGGATTGATGGGATTAAAGATAGAAATGTTAAAAGCAGGTGGGGATATAGTTTTGGAGTGGTTGGTGCAATTATTTAATAAATGTATGGAAGAGGGTAAGGTACCTAGGGATTGGCAGAGAGCATGCATAGTTCCTTTGTATAAAGGCAAAGGGGATAAAAGAGAGTGCAAAAATTATAGGGGGATAAGTCTGTTGAGTGTACCTGGTAAAGTGTATGGTAGAGTTATAATTGAAAGAATTAAGAGTAAGACGGAGAATAGGATAGCAGATGAACAAGGAGGCTTTAGGAAAGGTAGGGGGTGTGTGGACCAGGTGTTTACAGTGAAACATATAAGTGAACAGAATTTAGATAAGGCTAAAGAGGTCTTTGTGGCATTTATGGATTTGGAAAAGGCATATGACAGGGTGGATAGGGGGGCAATGTGGCAGATGTTGCAAGTGTATGGTGTAGGAGGTAGGTTACTGAAAGCAGTTGAAGAGTTTTTACGAGGATAGTGAGGCTCAAGTTAGAGTATGTAGGAAAGAGGGAAATTTTTTCCCAGTAAAAGTAGGCCTTAGACAAGGATGTGTGATGTCACTGTGGTTGTTTAATATTATTATAGATGGGGTTGTAAGAGAAGTAAATGCGAGGGTCTTGGCAAGAGGCGTGGAGTTAAAAGATAAAGAATCACACACAAAGTGGGAGTTGTCACAGCTGCTCTTTGCTGATGACACTGTGCTCTTGGGAGATTCTGAAGAGAAGCTGCAGAGATTGGTGGATGAATTTGGTAGGGTGTGCAAAAGAAGAAAATTAAAGGTGAATACAGGAAAGAGTAAGGTTACGAGGATAACAAAAAGATTAGGTGATGAAAGATTGAATATCAGATTGGAGGGAGAGAGTATGGAGGAGGTGAACGTATTCAGATATTTGGGAGTGGACGTGTCAGCGGATGGGTCTATGAAAGATGAGGTGAATCATAGAATTGATGAGGGAAAAAGAGTGAGTGGTGCACTTAGGAGTCTGTGGAGACAGAGAACTTTGTCCTTGGAGGCAAAGAGGGGAATGTATGAGAGTATAGTTTTACCAACACTCTTATATGGGTGTGAAGCGTGGGTGTGAAATGTTGCAGCGAGGGAGAAGCTGGAGCAGTGGAGAGGTCATGTCTGAGGGAATGTGTGGTGTGATTTAATGAAGAGAATTCGTTTAGTTTTGGAAGTTAGGAGAGGTGCGGGGGAATGACCAAATCTGTTGTCCAGAGGGCTGAGGAAGGGTTGTTGAGGTTGGTTCGGACATGTGAGAGAATGGGGCGAAACAGAATGATTCAAGAGTGTATCGTTCTGTAGTTGGAAGGAAGGCGGGGTTAGGGGTTCGCATAGGAAGGGTGGGAGGGAGGGGGTGTAATAAAGGAGGTTTGGTTCGTGCGGAGGGGCTTGGACTTCAGCCAGGCATGCGTGAGCGGGTTTGATAGGAGTGAATGGAGACAAATGGTTTTTAATATACTGACGTGCTGTTGGGAGTCGTGAGCAAAGTAACATTTATGAAGGGATTCAGGGAAACCGGCAGGCCGGACTTGAGTCCTGGAGATGGGAAGTACAGTGCCTGCACTCTGAAGGAGGGGTGTTAATGTTGCAGTTTAAAAACTGTAGTGTAAAGCACCCTTCTGGCAAGACAGTGATGGAGTGAATGATGGTGAAAGTTTTTCTTTTTCGGGCCACCCTGCCTTGGTGGGAATCGGCCAGTGTGATAATAAAAAAAAAAAAAAAGTTATGGACTTACTGCCTTCATGTTCGGTATTATCTTAAGTTTCATCTCCAAAGTAATTGGTTTTGTACCATTGTAAAGTTGAAATATCTTAAGTTGAGTCATAATGAGTCGAGGAGCACATGTAGGTTGGTAGACAGACAACCACCCAGGGAGGTACTAGTCTGCAATAGTGTGTAGACGTTAAAAACAAGCTGTGATTGTTTTACATGATGGTTTTTGGATTGACTGATGTTTGTGTCTGTCTCAGTAATATGCAGATTTACAGGCATGTCCTTTGGCCTTTTTAACCTTCTACTTACCTTAGGTCATCTACACCTACATGTACACATTTATTTATACCACACTCATCTGAGTTTTCTTGATGTATCTTAATAGTTTTGGTCTTATTAATTTTCCTTTTTTATCCATGGGGGGAAGTGGAATAAGAAGCTTTTCCTCGGTAGCCCTGCGTGTTTGTAAAAGTCAACTACAATGACGGGGATACAATGGGCTAGTACCCCTTTTCCTGTAAAGATTACTAAAAAAGAATAAGAGAATGAAAAATGCTCAAAGTAGGGAAGTAGTTTGTGCGTGGATGTTGTGCGATGATAAGAAAGAGTTGATTGTGGATGTAATGAATGAGAAGAAGCTGGATGTCCTGGCTTTAAGTGAAACAAAGCTGAAGGGGTAGGAGAGTTTCAGTGGAGAGGAATAAATGGGATTTGGTCAGGGGTTTCAAATAGAGATAGAGCTAAAAGAAGGAGTAGCAATAAATGTTGAAGGATAAGCTATGCAGGAAAAGAGGGACTATAAATGTATTAATTCAAGGATTATGTGGAGGTAACAATAAAGATTGGATGTGAAAAGTGGGTTATAATAAGCGTGTATGCACCTGGAAAGAGAGAGAAGTGGTAGAGGACGGGAGAGAGAGATTTGGGAAATGTTGAGTGAAATGCGTGGGGAGAGTTTGAATCAAGTGTGAGAGTAATGGTGGTTGGGGATTTTAATGCTAAAGTGGGTAAAATTGTTTCTGGAGGGGAGTAAGTTAGTAGTAGGTAAAATTGGGGGGTGCCAGGGGTAAAATGTAAATGGGAAGCCTTTAATTGAGTATGTGATAGAAGGAAATTTGGTAATATGTAATACATATTTAATGAAAAAGAGGTTAAAAAATAAATATACAAGGTATGAATTGTTAGCAACGTTAATGAAAAGTAGTTTATTAGATTATGTATTGGTGGATAAAAAGGTTTTTGATGGGTAGCTCCAGGATGTAACATGTTTATAGAGGGGCAATGATATATCGGATCATTATTTAGTGTAGCTACAGTTAGAGTAAGGAGGTAGATGGGAAAAGAGGAAGGTGGCAACAACAAGTAAGCGGGATTGGTGAAAGTGTATAAATAAATAAGGGAGGAGGAGTTCGGGTTGAGAACAAGCGACTATTGGCAGTAAAGGTGGGTAGTGCAAGATGAGTAGTGGGGGGGTTTGAAGAGGGTTGGAATAGTTTTAAAAAATGCAGTATTAGAAATGTGGGGCTGAAGGTTTGTGGTTATCGAGAGGGTGGGGGCAGGAGGAAAGAGGGAGTGATTGGTGGAATGATGAAGTAAAGGGTGTGATAAAAAGACGAAAAAGGTGCTTATGAGAGGTTTTTACAAAGCAGAAGTGTTATAAGAAGAGCAGGAGTATATGGAGAGTATAAAGAAAGGTTAAAGAGAGTGGTGAGAGGAAGTGCAAAAGGAGAGCAGATGATAAGGGGGTGAGGCACTGTCAAGAAATTTTTAATGAAATAAGAAAAAAGATTTTGGATGTGAGTTAAAACAAGTTAAGAAAGCCTAGGAAAAATATGGATTTGTCAGTTAAAAACTGGTAGGGGGAGTTAGTAGATGGGGAGATGGAGGTAATTGGAAGTTGGCGAGAATATTTTGAGGAAACTTTTAAATGTTAAGGAAGAAACAGAGAGGGCAAGTAATTTTCATGCACTGGTTCAGGGAGGTATACCATCTTTTAGGAGTGAAAGGAAGGCAGAATGTAAGTGTGGGGGAGGTTAGTGAGGCATTACGTAAAATGAAAGGGGTTAAAGCAGCTGGAACTGATGGGGATCTATGACAGAAATGTATAAAAGCAGGGGGGGATATAGTGTTGGAGTGGTTGGTACTTTTGGTGTATAGAAATGTATGAAAGAGGGGAAGGTACATAGGGATTGGCAGAGGAGCAGGTATAGTCCCTTTATATAAGGGATAGGGACAAAAGAGACTGTAAAAATTATAGAGGTATAAGCTTACTGAGTATACAGGAAAAGTGTCGGTTAGGCAGGGTTATAATGAAGAATTAGAGGTAAGACAGAATGATTAGGATAGAGCGATGATGAGCAAGGAGGTTTTAGAGTGGGTAGGGGTGTGTTAGATCAGGTGGTTTTACATTGGACGCATATATGTGAACAGTCTATTTAGATAAAGATAGGGAAGTTTTTATTGGCATTTTATGGATTTAGTAAAGGCATATGATAGAGTGGATAGAGGAGCAATGTGGCAGATGTGGCAAGTATATGGAAAAGGTGGTAAGTTATTAAAGGCTGTAAAGAGTTTTTCATGAGGATAGTGAGGCTAAGGTTAGGGTGTGTAGAAGCGAGGGAGACTAATTCCCGGTAAAAGTAGGTCTTAGAAAGGAGATGTGTATGTCACCATGGTTGTTTAATTTATTTATAGGATGGGGTTGTAAAGGAAGTAAATGCTAGGGTGTGTTGGGAGAGGGGTGGGATTAATTAGGGGAATCAAATTCAAAATGGGAATTGACACAGGTCTACTTTTTGCTGATGATACTGTGTTATGGGTGATTTAAAGAAAAAATTGCAAAGGTTAGGGATGAGTTGGGGAATGTGGTGTAAAAGGTAGAAAGTTGAAAGTGAACATAGAAAAGAGTAAGGTGATGAGGGTGTCAAATGATTTTAGATAAAGAAAAATTGGATATCAATTGGGGAGGATGAGTATGGAAGTAGTGATGTTTTCAGATATTGGGAGTTGACGTTGTCGGCGGATGGATTTATGATGGATGAGGCTTAATCATTAGAATTGATGAGGGAAAAAAGGTGTGTGGTGCTGCGTTGAGGTATATGTGGGAGTCAAAAAAACGTTAATATATGGAGGGCAAAGGAAGGGAATGTATGAAGTTATCGTTGTACCAACACTCTGATATGGGTGTGAAGCTTGGGTCGGTAAATGCTGCAGCGAGGAGGAGACGGTTGGAGGCCATCGGAGATTGTCCTGTTTAAGGGCAATGTTGTGGTGTAAATATTATGAAGTGAAACTTGGAGTGCTGGAAAAGATTAGGAGAAGGTGTGGAGTTAATAAAAGTATTAGTCAGAGGGCAGAAAGAGGGGTGTTGAGGTGGTTTGGTCATTTAGAGAGATGGATCAAGTAGAAGACAGGGAAAGATATAAATCTATAGGGAAGGAAGGCGGGTAGGGTCGTTCCTCGAAAGGGTTGGTGAGAGGGGGTAAAGGCAGGTTTTGTCTGTGGGTAAGGGCTTGGACTTCCAGCATGCTGTGCTGTGTGCGTGTTAGATAGTGAGTGAATGGACGAATGGTACTTGGGACCTGACGACCTGTTGGGTGTGAGCGGGTGGGGTAATATTTAGTGAGGGATCAGGGGAAGGAAACCGGTTATTTTCATATAGTCGGACTGAAGTTCCTGGAATGGGAAGTACAATGCCTGCACTTTAAAGGAGGGGTTTGGGAATTGGGCAGTTTGGAGGGATATGTTGTGTATCTTTATATGTTTATGCTTCTAGACTGTTGTATTCTGAGCACCTCTGCAAAAACAGTGATAATGTGCGAGTGTGGTGTGAAAGTGTTGAATGATGATGAAAGTATTTTCTTTTTGGGGATTTTCTTTCTTTTTTGGGTCACCCTGCCCCGGTGGGAGACGGCCGACTTGTTGAAAAAAAAAAAAAAAAAAAAATCTATTTTGTCTCTCACATTCAATTTATAACTTAATTAGAAAAAGTTGATCAAGCCTGTCAAAAAATTAAACACTTAACAATTCATGATTATTAGCTTGATGGCCCATAGTATCGGTGGCAGTCAAAAATTACAGAGGTGCATAGTAGGTCCAGGGACTGAGCCCTAGCATTCTCTTAGCTAAGCATGTTACAGTAGTAGTGAGAAAATGGATTCAGTTGCATTAATTCTGTAATGTGTAGGTTACACTATAAATTCAGTCACATAAACATTACATTAGAGCATATTCAATATTTTGGAGAGAATTTTCTGATTAAGCAAGTTACATTGGTTACGAGTTTTTGTACAGTGGGCAAAGTTAGGGCATTTGTATAGAAATTTTTGTCATTTATTAGGCATTTCTTAAGACCTTGGATTCTCATTAAGTTTGTTCACTTTTTCTGTTGTTGACAGTGTTTGTACAGGATTGTTTCATTTAAAGACTAGCACAAGTTCCTGTAGTATTTTTCAGGTATATATTATATTATGATGAATCTCTTCCATCTCTCAGTGGCATTCCTTTGCCTTGTGAAGAACTTGTGTGACCCAATTTGTTTTGATTAAAAAGAATAAAGTATAATATGAAATGAGAAAAAACTTTGTACAATCGCATATATAAGCTAGTATTTTACTGATCAGTATTAAACAATGAGTGAAAAATGTTTCAAATGTGCTTACCTTTGTTAAAACAAAATATTTTTTTTTATTTCAGGTCGAAAGTGTACATTTCAGACCATTACCGAGAATTTGATGGTTTACCAGAAGATGTGTCTCAGAATGAAGACATGGATGTTAATGCAGATGAAGCGCTTGACATAATCATGTCCCCAAAAACTAGTGACTTTTCTTATAGTTTATCACCTGGATTCAAAAAATGGCACAGTGAACCCTTTTCAGTAGACAGTTCATTTGGATTCATTCCATCCTGAACACTTTCACCTCTCCATAGTTTATGCATGTTACAGTGGATGAATCATGAGAATACTTTTTTAAATACAAGTGGACCCTCGGTTTTCATGTTTAATCTGCTCCAGAGAGATCGGTGAAAACAAACCATTTTCCCCAAAAGAAATAATGTAAATCCAATTAATCCATTACAGACACCCAGGAGTATTAACAAAAAAAAAAAAAATTTTACCCTAAAGATAGATTTACATGCACAAAAGAATGAACATTCAACATGGTACTTACCTTTATTGAAGGCTGTTGTTGGTGGATGGAAGACAGGGAAGAGGGGAGAGGGAAAAGAGGTTATTCTTTGGAAGGTAAATCCCCCTCCATAAGGACTCTAGGTACTAAGTCCTTATCCAGGGTCACTTTCCTTCTTTGTTTTTTAATGTTACAGATCTTTCCATCCTACTCCACATTGCACAAATTTCCATTACTACCACCCTCTTCCACCATCACTACTACCCTCTACCACCATCACAACCACTACCACCATCATTACCATACTCTACCATCACAACCACTGCCAACCCTCTACCACCATCACTACAACCCTCTACAAACCATTACCACCCTCTACCACCACAATCACTACCACTCTACCACCATTGCTACCACCCTCTACCACCATCACAACCACACACTACCACCATCACAATCACTACCACCCTCTACTACCATCACTACAACCCTCTACAATCACTACCACCCTCTACCATCACTACCACCCTCTACCACCATCACAACCACTACCACCATCACAACCACTACCACCCTCTACCCCCATCACTACCACCTTCTACCACCAACACCACTTTCGTATTTTTCTACAGACTTTTTCTTGAATTCTATCATGTTTCTCACATTCTTTACCAAAGGGCTGGCACTAGAAGCTTTCTTTGGGCCATGGTGGCTTATTTAGCAGTCACACACAATAAACAAGTGCCAAAAACAATGGATTATTACGAAATGTTTCGTATGACCTCGCAGGATATGTTTGCTCACCGAGAAACAACACGACACTACCTGAGAATGCTTGTGGGAGGTGGCTTTGCGTGCGCTCTGGGCAGTGGACAGGTTCCATACCATTGATGAAAATGGAACCAATATTTTGACAGAAAAAGTTGGCAAAAAAGGAAATTGGCAATAACGGAGATCAGTGAAAAGGGAGGGTCCACTGTACCTTGTTTAATATTTATCTCTGAAGTTTACCTAATATTTATTAGCATTGCATAGGTTTTGTATATAAAATGATTGAAACCTGTCATTTATTGATATTTGAAACAGGTTCTAAGTCAAATTGGTGTCCAGATAATATAATTTTATATTTATGCTGGACAAACTTGCATTGACTACTGTATTTTTTCAACTTGTGTAAAGTTGATGTTTGTGAGAAAGGGGCTAAATATGTTTTTGTATCTATTTAACCCGTAAACGGTCCAAGCAGATCTACGTTCACATGTGTAGTGCTACAAAAGTAGATCTAACTTTTTTTTACATATTTTCAAATATAACAAAAAAAAAAGTAAATCAAAGTTTTTTTTACACATTTTCAAATGTAGAAAAACAAAAAGATCTACTTTTTTACATACTTTCAAATGTTGAAAAAACGTATATATACGTTTGGACCGTTTACGAGTTAAATACATATCCTTTCCTTTTATTCAAAGTTGTCAGAGGCTTGGATTAGTGTTTGGCATTTACTTTAATTACTCTACTAGTTTTTCCTGACACTAATACTTATTGTAAGGGTAATTGTTTTGGAATCTATAACATTTAAATGAAATAAATTATTTAGCATTTTCTGATTATTTTTTCAACCTAACTTCTTGCATATGTGCACTGGCCATCTCCCACCAAGGTAGTGTGACCTGAAAAAGAAACCTTTTCACCATCATCATCACTATCACTGCCTTGCCAGAGGTATGTAGATGTGACAGTTCAAATGTCCCTCCAAACAGCAAATATCCCTACCCCTCCTTTAATGTGTAGGTACACAAATAACCCGCACATAAGAGAGAAGCTTACGACGACGTTTCGGTCCGACTTGGACCATTGACAGAGTCACACTAACCAGAAGTGGAGCAGGACGGCTATATATAGGCAGGAAGAGGTGGTGGTAGTAGTAGTAGTACAAGAATGGTATATAATACCGACAAGATGAAATTAAGACACATGCGCAACACCCGGACATCCCTATCGTAGACGTTTCGCCTTCCAGCCAGCCACTGGATGGCGAAACGTCCACAACAAAGACAACCAGATGCTGCACATGTGTCTAAATTTCATCAGTAGTTGTAGTAGTAGTAGAAGAGGTAGTAGTAGTGGTAGAAGTGGGAAATAAGGAGGACGAGCCAGTCAAATACAAAGGAAGGGGAGCACTGCAAGAGAGCTAGGTGCCCACTGAGGGAGAGCAAGCGCACAGAGGTGCGTGAAAGGGGAAGTGGTGAAATAAATGAAGAAGGGACAGAAGAGAGAAAGACAACCCAGAGGAGAAAGGGGAAGAGGGAGAAGAAGAAAAAGAAAAAGAAAAAAAAAAATAATGAGGAGTCAGGTTAAGTCATGGGTGTTCTGAAGTTTGGAGCATTTTACAATGTAGTGGGAGAGGAAGGCATCTACAGAGACGAAGCCAGGGCTAAGGTTCATACAAGGAAAGTTGTTTATTAGAGAGGATTCAACTAGACGGCGACTGTTCGAGTTGGAAGTAGGGAAGACAGTTTTAGCAGAAGACCAGTCAATAGGATGGCTATGATCTCTGACGTGACAGAAAAGAGCATTGTTAGTGTCGGCAAGCCTAACACTATTTTTGTTATTTAATGTGTAGGAACTGTACTTCCCACCTCAAGGACTTAGATCATGTTAACTGGTTTCCCTGAATCCTTTCACAAAATATTACCTATGCAATTCTGTGTAAGGAGTTCTCAGGACTGATTTAACATTATTACTCAATGCAAAACCTATCTTATTGTTTCTTAACCTAACCAAGTCTACCGTACTAAGTTTGCTGGAACATAAATAAAAATTAGGCATACTTAACTGTTACTTTATTGCCAAAGTTTTTTCTGCAAAAAGATTATTAATCTTTTTAATACTTCTTACTTCCTGAATAATTATATAGCAGGTTCAGCAAAGTTCAGTAAAAAAATGGAGAATTAAAATATTTTGTAATTTTATTTGTATGACCCTTGAGAATTTAACACTTAGTTTTGATTGTAATAATAAGTGTAGCACTGTATAGCCCTTGTGGTTTAGCGCTTCTTTTTGATAATAATAGTAATAATAATTGTAGGTTTTATCTCCTTCAAGGGGAATATCCTTTCCTGTGAAAAGGGGATCCTAATCACAGGAACTGGATTTGCAGTTCCCTTCCTTGGATTAAATCTCAATATCCCAATCCTCCCCTTTCTTCATATGGCCTCGGTGAATAAATTTCCACCTTTTGTGAAATCCAGTGAAATGGAGGAAAAAGGTATCACTGTCAACCCTATTCTACCATAGCTTCCATCAGCAGTGCTATAATGATCTTGCCACTCCACTAGATGGAAAATGGATTATTTTGAAGCATGTCAGGCAGTACTGTATGACCCTAGTGGGTTTAGTGCTTAGAGAGTGTTAAAGGAATGTAAAGAGGAACTTAGCATACCTTTGGCTAATCTTTTCAATACATCACTACAAGCTGGCATAGTGCCTGACAAGTGGAAAATGGCAAATGTAATACCTATTTACAAGGCAGGTGACAGGTCCTTAGCTTTGAACTATAGACCAATGAGCATTACCTCCGTGGTTTAGCGCTTCTTTATTATTATAATAAGCCTTACCTCCATAGTGGGAAAATTTATGGAATCAATAATTGCTGAAGCAATTCGTAGCCATCTCGAAAGGCATAAATTGATTAAACTCTTTACCGGGCGGTGCCTCTCGGCACAGCTTTAAAAAGGGGCGCTCCTGTCTTACAAATTTACTAACTTTCTTTACTAAAGTATTTGAGGAGGTAGATCATGGTATTGAATATGATATTGTGTATATGGACTTCAGTAAGGCTTTCGATAGAGTTCCACATCAGAGGCTATTGAGGAAACTTAAGGCACACGGAATAGGAGGAGAAATTTTTTCCTGGGTTGAGGCATGGTTGACGAATAGGCAGCAGAGAAATCGGAATGGGGGCAAGTCACAAGCGGTGTTCCACAGGAGTCAGTGTTGGACCCCTTGTTGTTCACAATCTACATAACGACATAGATGAGGGAATGCATAGCGACATAAGCAAATTTGCCGATGACTCCAAAATAGGCCGTCCAATTCATTCTAATGAGGACATTAGAGCACTCCAGGATGATTTGAATAGACTGATGTAGTGGTCGGAGAAGTGGCAGATGCAGTTTAATATAGACAAATGCAAAGTTCTAATGTTGGACAGGAAAATAACCATGCCACATATAAACTAAATAATGTAGATCTTAATATTACGGATTGCAAAAAGGATTTAGGAGTTCTGGTTAGTAGTAATCTAAAACCAAGACAACAGTGCATTAGTGTTCACAATAAAGCTAACAGAATCCTTGGCTTCATAGCAAGAAGTATAAATAATAGGAGGAGTCCTCAGGTTCTTCAACTCTATATATCCTTGGTTAGGCCTCATTTAGATTATGCTACGCAGTTTTGGTCACCGTATTACAGAATGGATATAAATGCACTGGAAAACGTACAAAGGAGGATGACAAAGTTGATCCCATGTATCAGAAATCTTCCCTGGGAGTGATCATGTCGGAGGATCTCACCTTCAAGGACCATAACATTGTATCAATCGCATCTGCTAGAAAAATGACAGGATGGATAATGAGAACCTTCAAAACTAGGGATGCCAAGCCCATGATGACACTCTTCAGGTCACTTGTTCTACCTAGGCTGGAATATTGCTGCACACTAACAGCACCTTTCAAGGCAGGTGAAATTGCTGACCTAGAAAATGTAAAGAGAACCTTCACGGCGCGCATAACGGAGATAAAACACCTCAATTACTGGGAGCGCTTGAGGTTCCTAAACCTGTATTCCCTGGAACACAGGCGGGAGTGATACATGATTATATACACCTGGAAAATCCTAGAGGGACTAGTACCGAACTTGCACACGAAAATCACTCACTACGAAAGCAAAAGACTTAGCAGACGATGCAACATCCCCCAATGAAAAGCAGGGGTGTCACTAGCATGTTAAGAGACCATACAATAAATGTCAGGGGCCCGAGACTGTTCAACTTCCTCCCAGCATACATAAGGGGGATTACCAACAGACCCCTGGCAGTCTTCAAGCTGGCACTGGACAAGTGCCTAAAGTCGGTTCCTGACCAGCCGGGCTGTGGCTCGTACGTTGGTTTGCGTGCAGCCAGCAGTAACAGCCTGGTTGATCAGGCTCTGATCCACCAGGAGGCCTGGTCACAGACCGGGCCGCGGGGGCGTTGACCCCCGGAACTCTCTCCAGGTAAACTCCAGGTATGAGGATAGACTGAGGCCCTGAATCTGCACTCTCTAGAAAGGCATAAAATTAGGGGGATATGATTGAGGTGTATAAATGGAAAACATGAATTAATAAGGGGGATGTGCTTAGTGCTTCTTTTTTATTATAATAATAATAATAAGAGGGATGTAAATAGCGTGCTAAAAATATCTAACATAGACAGGACTCGTAGCAATGGCTTTAAATTGGAAAAATTCAGATTCAGGAAGGATATAGGAAAGCACTGGTTTGGTAATAGAGTTGTGGATGAGTGGAACAAACTCCCAAGTACCGTCATAGACGCTAAGACGTTGTGCAGTTTTAAGCTGTTTAGCCCTTGTGGCTTAGCGCTTCTTTTTGATTATAATAATAATAATGTGCGCAGTTTTAAAAATAAGTTGGATAAATACATGAGTGAGTGTGGGTGGGTGTGAGTTGGACCTGACTAGCTTGTGCTACTAGGTCGGATGCACTGCTCCTCCCTTAAACGAATAAATGAGAGAGAGAGAGAGAGAGAGAAATAGGTTCGCGAGTTATGTAAACAAATCAGCCAGACGCGTATGGTTTTAGTAAGTTTATTCAGGTATACACAAATACAGTTACATAGAATTATCATACATAGCAGCATATGTGTAGAGAACCTAGGATAACCCAAAAAAGTCAGACAGAGTGACCTATTTCCATTGGGGTCCTTTTACCTTATTATAATATAAAAGTTATAATATTTTCTTATTATTCTATAATGAAGATAACATCTTATTATCATACTAAAAAGACTATCTACTACACGAGGGTCATTAAGACTATCTACAATACGAGTCATTACTAGGAATAAGGTAAAATTTACACGTATGTTAATAATAATATGTTAATTATACTAATGTGGGTATGTAGTCTGCCTGGGCTACATACCTACACCTACTTACATAGCATGTTTATATGCTTTGTAATATGTTTCTTATATAATTTTGAAGGAAATATCATAGAAGGTTTAATGAAAATGTCTATATTAACGTTTTATACAATATTTAATAAGCCTCAGAGTGATTATTATTGTGTTATCGTTATTAACATTATTAAGTGACGTGTCTGACCTCATTAGGTCAAAGCACTGGCTTAAGCCGGTACGAGTATTGGAGATGCCTCGCATAGGCCAGTAGGCCTGATGCAGTGTTCCTTCTTATGTTCTTATGATTATAATAATAAGGCATGTCAGGTGAACCCTCGGTGAGACATGTTTGCCCTCAAACGACAAGTATTTCTGGATCCTGGAGTGGATCCTGGAGTAGCAACTGAAGGTTGCTACTCCAGG